GCACCACCAAAGTGGGACTCATTCCTTCTGCTGAGTCAAATCCTATTCCTTCACTGTTCTGAATCTCTCCCTGGCTCCCCTCTGGCCCAGTGTAAAGGCAAAGTTCTTACTGGATCCACTAGTTCCCTCTCTGACCACAGCTCCCACCCTCTCCCCACATTCCTATTCCTCAAGCACAGTCCTGCCTCAGGGCCTTTGCACAGGATGCCTGTACAACCAAGAATGTCTTTTCCAAATTTCTATGGGCCAATTCACCCACCAAATTTTGCTCCAACCTCACCTCAGAGAGAGATTCTGACCAGCCAATACCAGAGCGCCACCCCTGACCTCGTCCCTACACCCCTTCCTCGCTTCATTTTTTCCCAGCACTCTGGACAGCTGAACACTATATATTTACTTGTGGGTTGGTCCATCTCCCCGCTAGAATGGAGCACCACAGGGAGGGGACTTCTGCTCACCACTGCGGTCTCATCACTTAGAAGAGCGTCTGGCACTCAATCAGTGCTCACAAAGATAGATTCGTTCATTCATTCATTCAATCAGCAAATACCTCAAAAGGGCTCCCAGAGGCCAGGCCCTGAAGAAGGTGGAACTGGGGACCCAGGGAGCAATCAGACCAGGGCCTGTGTTCCAGGGTTTGGGAACGACTGCCACAAATAGGATGGGTCACAGTTTGTTGTGAAATGTGCCCCCCCTGGAGAGCTTGGCCTGCACTCTCCTCAGGCTTGGGGAGGGCTGGGGCCCTAGAGACAGGGAACCCAGCCCCTGCCTTAGGGAGCTCCCAGCAGATAAGTGTCTGGAGGCCAGACTCCCCCTCCAGACAAGACAGGACCACGCCTTCAGGCTGGGCCTGGCCTCACCCCTCCCTTTCTTATCTGCAGAATTTGCCCTTCCTGGCTCTTCTCCTCAAAGCCTGCCTTCATCCCCTTCTAGATCCTCGCCCCAGCTCCACTGTGCCAGTAGGAGGACTCCACTCTCTTCCTGTCCTCCACCTGCCCCCTGACCCTACTCTTCCCCTCACTCGGGCTTGAAACCCTCTCCAGTGCTCTCAGGACAAACACCATCCTGGCCTCTGCCCACCTCCCCAAGGTCAGGTTGCATCCCTCTCTGCACCAGCCACACAGGCCTTAGTGCAGAGTCTCCACGGGGCCTCAGGACCTTTGCACGTGCTGTCCCTCTGCCTTCAGAGCTCGCCTCCCCTTCCTCTGGCCTGGCTAACTCCTCCACATTGTCTGGGCAATGCAATAAGACAGCTCCTGTTCTCCCAACACCATGGCCCTCTCCCTCACTGGACTTAGGACAACTACAAGCTTTTCTCCCCCAGTTAAAAAAAAAAAAAAAAAACTGGGGGACTTCCGTGGTGGTCTAGTGGCTAAAACTCCAAGCTCCCAATGCAAATGGCCTGGGTTCAATCCCTGTTTGGGGAACTAGATTCCACATGCTGCAACCAAAACCCAGTGCAGCCAAATAAATAAATATAATAAATATAAAATTTTTTATGAGAACAAGAAGGGAGCCAGGATAGGAATTGTAAACAAGTCGATATCAATTCTGAAAGTAAATTTCACATGACTTTCTGAGGGGCAACAAAATATACCTCCCTGAATGTTTTGTAATATATTTAGATCTGACTTTATGTTACAAAAAGAAAATAAATTTAATGGATCATCAGACAGCGGCATACGTGAAATAAAAGGACTTGCTGTATAGTACAGGGAACTATATTCAACCACAGTGGAAGAGAATATGCAAACAAAATATATATACGGATAACTGAATCACTTTGCTGTACATCTGAAACTAACACAATATTGTATATCAATAGTACTTCAGTTAAAGAAAAATTGAGATACAATTCACACAGCACACTGCCCACCACTTGGCAGAGCCATTCAGGGTTTCTTTAGTAGATCCACAGTGCTGTCCATCTATCACCACAATCTAACTCCAAAACATTCTCATTACCCCCTAAAGAAACCCTGTTCTCATTAGAAGTCACTCCACAATCCACCACCCCCTAGGCCCTAGGCAGTCGCTCAACTACTTTCTGATTCTCTGGATTTGCTTCTTCTGCACATTTCATATAATGGAATCCTACAATATGTAGCCTTTTATGTCTGGCTTCTTTCCCTTAAAATGATGTTTTTCAAGGTTCACCCATGTTGTAGCCTCTACAGTACTTCATTCTTTTTGATGGCTGAATATTATTCTGTTGTGTGGGTGTCCACATTGTGTTTTTCCATCCATCTGCTGGTGGACATCTGGGTTTGTTTGCGCTCTCTGGCTATCGGTCATCGATGATGCTGTATGAACATCCGTATACAAGTGTTTGGGAGATGGACAACTGCAATTTTCATGCAGTTCCTGTCTCCCTCTAGGGCTAGGAGGTTCATGGGGGTACAGATGTACAGAACACATCTACGACTGAGTTCCCAGCACCCATGATAAGGTCTGAAACATACCAGCCACTCAATATATACTCAATTAGAAAACCAAGGATGAGGGGCACCCTGATTCTCCAGTCCTGATTCTTTTGGCTAAACAGCCTCCACTGCCCCCAAGTCGGAGTCTCTCCTCCATCCTCTGGCTTCCCTCTGGGGTCCACCGGTGACACCCACTTGTTTTCTCTTTCCTTCCCCACCCCCACCATCCAATCCCTTTGTAGATCCTCCAAGATCTATCTCTAATCCAACCGCTTCTCACGGTTTCCTTCCCAACCCAGTCGAGTAAATCACCATCTTGAGCAGGGACGCCTGCAACAGCCCCCTTATTCTTTCCCTGCTTCCATTCCTACCTCCTTGGGTCTATTCTCTATCCAGCAGCCAGAGCAACTATTTTAAAACATCAATCAGCTCCCAGCTCCCCCATGCTCAAAACGTTCCCGCCACCCTTGCTTCAGAGAAAGCCCAAGGTGCTCCCCATGGCCCACAAAGCCCTACCCGCTCCCTGTTCCCTCTCTGCCCTTATCTCCCACCTCTCCCTCCCTCCCTCTCTTGGCTCCAACCACACAAGCCCCCTCACTCTTATCTGAACCCTCACCAAGTGTGCTACAACCTCAGGACCTTTGAACACACCATTCTGCTGCCTGGACCCCTCTTGCCTCCAAAATCTGTACTGTCTGCCCCTTCTCAATCCTGTTACCTTCCCCCTCTTCCCGTCCTTATTTTTCTTCACAGCACTAGTCATCGCCTGTAGTTTTCTGTGTTTATATTTTAATCTGTCTCCTGGCACGAGTGCTCCAAGGGGCAGAAATTTCTGTTCACTGTGGTAGCCCTCATCCCTGGAAGTGTTTGGCACATTGGAGTGATCAAAAAGCATTTGTCAAATGAGAACAAATGAATGAATCTTCAGAGGCAAGATGTTTTGGTCAATGGAGTCAGCTGACAAGAAAATGAAGCCTTCAAGAGGTTGAATGACTTGCCAAGGGTCACAAGGTAGGTGTCAGAGGCAATGCACACCTGCTTCTAACAGCTGCCCCACCCCCACCACCCCCCCCCCCCGCCAACCCCCAACCCCTCAATGCTCCACCCCTTTCCTAACAAACATAACCTCCCTCTGCCACTTGATACCCAAGTTTCCACCCTTCTCACTGGCTGAGCACCCACTATGTGCCAGATCATCCCATACGTGCTAAATTCTAAAATCACTGGGCACTTGCAGAGGCTGCTCCTCAGATTCGGCCAAACAACAAAAACAGGAGCCAAGACATCTAGTGCCTGGAATGTGTGAAACGCCTCACTCACATACAGTTATCATCACAACCCCATCAGGAAGAGGCCTTCGGCAGTCCCTCCTGACAGATGAGGAAACCGAGAGATGAAGTCCCTCATTCAAGGTCACAAGACAAGGGGACAGGAGCACTCAAACTCGAACCCAAGCCTGGCTGACCCTGGAGCCTGTGCGGATACAGCCTCTGAAGCTCTTGGCAGCTCCAAACACCAACACCCGTTCCCAAGAGCTAGGAGCTGACTTGGCGCCAGGCCTCCCATAGTCACGACCATTCTTCCTGCTGGTGACAGCTGTCCCCATGTTGATGTGGTCAGAGGGGAGAAGGCTCCAGATTCAGGGCCGTCCTGCTCCCTGACCCATGACCCCTCTGGAACCAGGCTTCCCCCCACACCCCCCAGCTGTCCAGATCTCTTCCCCATGGATTTCTAAGGCCCCCCAGGCCCCTTCTTTGAGATCTGAGCTCTCTCCCTTCTGGCACTTCCCCCAAGTCCCCACATTATAATGACCTCTTCTTTCCAGGACTCTCCATCTGCAGCGCTCCTCCTCCATGCTCCCCTCAGTAACCCCTCGAGCCCCTTCTCCACTGCCCGCTACGTCTCCAAAGCAATCCTCCACTCAGGAGCCCCTCTATGCTTCACCAAGGTCCCAGAGAGTCTCCCTTGTTCCCATGTCTCCTCCCCAAATCCCTGGGACTTTCTATCATTCTTAAGTCCTCTCTATGAACCAGCTGAGCGCCTCCGTGAACTGTCTAGCCCCTTGGCCTCTATGACACCCCCTGCCCAGGCTTCAAGCCCGGTTCCTTTTAGGTTTCCTGTGTTTCGCGTCCTCCCAGTCCTCTCTGGCCTCCTCCTACTCTACCTCTCCACAGGGTACCCCCACCCACCCTCCCTCCCATGCACCTTCTTCCTTTTCCATCTACAACAGGGAATCTCTCTAACCCTACCGCTAATACGATCCCCCAGCCTTCCTTCCACTCCCAGGGGACACCTCCATGCCCTGTTCCCGGGACTTTACTAATCTCCTATTAACACCCTCCGCGACGCCTCTAACCACTCCGCGTCGACACCTCGAGAGGCATACTATGACACCCTAAGCCCCTCCATTCACCTCAACCCACCCTTAAGATCCCCCCCCCCCGCCAGTGGCCTCTCTCGCCTCTCACTCTATGGCCGCAATGGATTTCTAAGCCTTGGGCCCCTCTGTAACACCCCCCCGAACCCTTCAATTCCACGCTCTCCCCCCTGTCCGATCTCCCCCGGCCGCGCTCTCACAGTTCCGGATGTCGGAGATGAACACGGCAAGCCCCCGCATCCCATCGCCCTTGGACACGGCCGGCATGATGGCGGTGGCGTCGGCTCCAGGCCTGGCCGGGCAGGGCACGGCACAGCGGGGGCTGGCAGGCGGCGGGGGGGGGACCGGGAGGAAAGGACCCCAGGCAGCGCTGAGAAGACGAGCCGGCCGGGGCGGGGGGCGGGCGGGCTGGCAGGCGGGCGGGCGGGCGGGCAGGCAGGCCGCGGCTCCGCCCCCGGCCCCTCCCCTCGCCTCCTCCGGCCTGCGCTCTCAGGGCCGCCTATAGGCTGCAATTACTGGCGCTCAGACGCAGGCTCGACCCCTCCGCCTGTCTCATTGGTCCCTGGACAAAGGCGTGCGGTTCCGATTGGTCCAGCGCCCCGCTATTTCCGCTCGGGGAGTGGAAGGGGTGGGGGCGTTGACCAAAAGACGGGCGGAGTTCGTGACGTACAGTGGGACCGCCCCCTCCGCTCGGCCGGGTGAGGGACCGATTGGATCCGGGTGCTCTCCCAGGAGGGAGGGACGGACGCGAAGGACGGAGGGGGCGTGGATTTGCAGAGGCGGGACTCACGTTGACGGAGGCCAATGGGCGGGTAGATCGCCCCCGCGGGCGTCGCGGATTGGGCCGGTGTCGGGGGCAGAGGAGGAGGGCGACGATCCGTAGAGAAGGAAGGAGAAAGGGGGGTCGTTACTCGCCTGGGCTGGGATAGGTGGAGCGGCTCCTGCAATTCCCTGCTGCAGAGAAGAAGTTGGGAGGGGCGGGAGAGCGTGAGGTGCTTACTGCGCAAGCGTCTTTCTGTTCCCTTTTTTCCCCCCCTCCTCTCCTCCACCCCCGGATTCCTTAAATCTTCTTCCAGGGAGACGTCCCTACCTCCTCCCCCTCCCTTCTTCCTTCCTTTCCCTTCTCTAGCCGCCGAGATGTTGGGACCTAACTTCTCCGGAAGCCTAGTATCCCAGAGCTGACGAAACAGTAATTCAAGTCTACTCCCATTTAGCAGAGGTTAAAACTGACGTCCAGAGAGATTGAATGACATGCCCAAGGTCACAGAGCTCGGGATTAAACTATATTCTGGCATTCTAATATACAATGGCTTTTGTTGTTGTTGTTGTTGCAACTGTAACACCATTAAATAGATACCAAATACAAATTGCGAGTCTTTCCACCAGACTTTGAGTTTTTCCTGAACAAGAAGGGGACCTGGTAATGAATGAAGAACGTTCGATAAGGAAAGCAGTCGGTGAACCCGCTTTGTTTGGCCCAACCAACACCGCTTGTCGCTCCAGAGACCTTCCTCGTTAGACTGTATTTGGGGAAGGCAAAACCTCAGAAACTCCAACGCCCTGGGCTATTGAGAAATTTGGGGCAAAGGGAACTGGAAGAGTCCATTCTAGCACCTAGAAGAACTAGGTCCCCCGTCAGGTTTTTCCAATATCAGAAGCCTAGTATGCTTGGATTGAACCTTAAGGGAGTGTCACGGGTCCCGGGAACATCCCCTGGGGGGATGGGGACGGGGCAGAAGAGCCCATCTTCCAGGTTCAATGGATTCGTCCATTTGGGCTTCCAGGGATGGGGCTTGGGAAAGTCTATTTTGGATTCCAGGAGGACAAACATCTCTGGTGTGGGGGGAAGCTGTCTGCCCCTAAAGACCCATAATGGCCCCATAAACAACAATAACAACAAATTATTAGGACCAATAGGAGTTGGAAAAACTCCTTTTTATGGAAGATAATGTCAAGCAATCCAAGGACTGGAGGAGTCCATTCATGACAAGGGAAGAAGCACTTTTCTCCCTGAGGATAACACCATTAAATATAGATAGATACCAGATAGATAGTAGTGGGTTGGAATTAGTCTGCTTTTCAGGGGATGCAAAGAGAGACATCCAGAGCCGGATGAACAGAATTATGTCCCTAAGGAAGAGGGAAAAGCCACCCTCTTCGTAGACTTCATGGGGATTGATTTGGCACCCCCAACAGGAGCTCATGGGCTCACCAGTGCCAAGTTAGAGCAGCGCCTTTCAAAAGAAATGCAGTGGGAGCCACAAAAACAGTCACAAATATGCTCCTCCCACGTTAAAAAAGTAAAAAGAAAAGGTGAGATGAATCTTAATAATATATTTCATTTAACCCCTCGCGCCCAAATATTGGGCTTCCCTGGTGACTCAGTGGGTTCGATCCCTGGGTTGAGAAAATCCCCTGGAGGAGGGCATGGCAACCCACTCCAGTATTCTTGCCTGGAGAAGCCCATGGACAGAGGAGCCTGGCGGGCTACAGTCCGTGGGGTCACAAAGAGTCGGACCCGACTGAGCAACTAAGCACAGCACAGGTGGCTCAGTGGTAAAGAGTCCGCCTGCCAATACAGGGGACACGGGTTCGATCCCTGGGTCAGGGTGATCCCCTGGAGAAGGAAATGACAACCCACTCCACTACTCTTGCCTGGGAAATCCCATGGATAGAGGAGCCTGGTGGGTTATAGTCCCTTGGTCGCAAAAGATTTGAACATGACTTAGCGACTCAACAACAAACAACAACCCAAATATTATGATTTCAACATAGCTTACATATCATCCTAAGTGTTTGAAATCTGGTGTTTATAAACATAGCACATCTCAGGGGAGACTCACCATGTCGCAATCGCTCAGCAGCCATGGGGCATTATCAGAGGCCGAAAATTAGAAACCGGGTTTGAGCAAGACCAGTCTGGGGTGCAAGGGCTCAGCAGGTGACCCTTTGCTAAGTTTTAAGACCATCATGAAGCAACTCATGTGTGGGGGTCTAGATGAGGTTTAGACAAGTCCTTGTTGGTTTCAGGATGGAGCACAAAGAGAGAGAACACCAGAAGTCCCTCGAAGAGCTCACAGGTTGAACCACGATAGTTTCTGAGATTCTGACCTGAACAAATCAACTCAATTTTCACCAGAAAAACAGGACTCATCCCCCATCTTCCCATTTTGGTAGATGGGCCCACCATCAATCACCCAAGCACTCTTACCAGAAAGGACCCTGCCGTGTCCTTCACACCAAACCAATGTCAGAACATACCAGAAATCCAGCCACCTCCTCCCACAGCCACTGCCTCCCCCTGTGCAGACCACCATCACCATCGTCTTTTGCTGGAACAATGCTATGACCTCCCACGCTGTTTTCCCTGCTTCCATCCTGGCCACTCAGGGTGCTTTTTAACAACATCAGTCAGCTGTGTCCCTCCCCAGCTTAAATGCATCAGCCATACTGGCCTCCTCTTGGCCACTCAGACCCTCCAGACTCATTCCTTTGGCTATCTGATGCGAAGAGTCGACTCATTGGTAATGACTCTGATGCTAGGAAAGATTGAGGGCAGGAGGAGAATGGGGAGACAGAGGATGAGATGACTGGAGAGCATCACCGACTCAATGAACCTGTCTTACTCCAAGAGACAGTGAAGGACAGAGGAGCCTGGCATGCTGCTGTCCATTGCAAAGGGTCGGACATGACTTAGTGACTAAACAACACCATGAAGACTCATTCCTGCCCCCTGCCCACCCTGGCTTTCCCCGCGGCTGGCTTGTCCTTCAGGTCACAACAGAATGGCCCCTCTTCAGAGAGAAATTCCGAATTTAGGGATTTAAAGTGATCTCTCCCTGTTATACTTGCATACATTATCCAGTATTTTTTTTTTAATGTGTTTTAGCAATCCCATTCCTGGGCATATATACAGAAAAGATGAAAAACTCTCCTTTGAAAAGACAGATGCACTCCAGAGCTCATAGCCCACTATTTACAATAACCAAGACACAGAAGCAACCTAAATGTCTATCAACAGAGGAGTGGATAAAGAAGATATGGTCTATATACACAATGGAATATTGCTCAGCTATAAAAAAGAACAAAATAATGTCATTTGCAGCGACACAGATGGACACAGAGATTATCACACTAAGTGAAGTAAGTCAAAGAAAGACAAGTACCAAATGATATCACTTATATGTGGAGCCTTATAAAATGATACAGGGGGACTTCCCTGATGGTTCAGTGGTTGAGACTCCACCTGCCAATGTGGGGGACAGGAGTTTGAACCCCGATCCAGGAAGATCCCATGTGACATGGAGCAAATAAGCCCACATGCCCCAACTAGAGAGCCCACATTCTAGAACCTGTGAATCACAAAATACTGAAGGCTGAGAGCCCTAGAGCCTGTCCCCCACCACAAGAGAAACCACCACAATGAGAAGCCCGCACACCAAACAGCGCAGCTAGAGCTAGCCCCTGCTCTCTGCAACTAGAGAAAAGCCCGCGCAGCAATGAAGACCCAGTGCAGCCAAAAATTAATTAATTAATTAATTTTTAAAAATGCTACAGGGAATTCCCTGGCATTCCAGTGTTTAGGACTTGGTGCTTTCACTGCTGGGGCTGGGGTTCAATCCTTGGTTGGGGAACTAAGATTCCGGAAGCCACACGGCACAGCCAAAAAAAAAAAAACCAACAACAAAAATATACGTCAACTTTATTCAATAAAGAAACCATTAAAAAAAAAAAGTTGTAGACATCAATACACGTCAACCCTGTTATGGGCTGAATTACATCCTGCAAAAGATGTTCAAGTTCTAACCTGCAGTAACTGTGAATGCGCCCCTATTCGGAAGTAGGGTCTCTAGCAATGATCAAGTTAAGACGCAGTCATGTGGGTGGGCCCTGATCTGGTATGTGTTCTTAAAAGAGAGGAAATTTGGAAACTGATCCAGAGAGAAGACTGTGAAGAGTCCTAACCCCTGGACCACCAGGGAAGTCCTTAGTTTTGGGGGTTTTTTAATCCACAGAATTCACACAATAAGAGGCTCAGATCCCAGGTGCACAAATCGATGAGCTTGGACAAATGTCCACTTTGCCGTCACCCGGTTTTGATTCCCTTCATATCACATTCGGACACCTGCTATTTTTAGTTTGTTTCTACTGCTTGTCTGTCTGTTCCCTTCCAACCTCCCGTAGAATGTGAGATCCTCCAGCGACCCTCCTTTCCAATCCCCATCCCCCCGGCCAGACCCTGGGCACAAGTCCCGCAGGATGAAGCAAGTTTGAATGCGGATGGCGGGGCTGGGGGTGGGTGGGGAGAGTGCTGAAACAGACTTTCAGGGAAAGGGAATTTGGACCCCTCCCAAGAAACAGTGAGCTAGTCCACCGTTCAGAATGAATCAGTTTCACTATGGTTCTGAAGTGGGGGAAAGATCAGGGCAGAACTAGCAACCCGGACAAGGAAGAGTTCACTGAGCCCCCCTGGGGGAAGGTGATAAGTCACGTTTCCCACCCCTGTGCTCCCCACCCCCCCACCTTACTGGAGCCCAGTGGTTGGGTCCTTTATGAGTCAGGTTTGTGGGGACCAGGGACCTTGAGGGGCAGTGGTCAGAATAGGTGGACAGTCTCGGAGGAGGGAGCCCCTGGGAGCCGGGCCCCCCACACGCCATGGCGAGCGTGGTGGTGAAGACAATCTGGCAGTCCAAAGAAATCCATGAGGCTGGGGACCCCCCCGCGGGGGTCGAGAGCCGCTCCCAGCTGGTCCCCGAGACTCCTGGGGGGGTAACCAGCCCAGTCAAGGGGATCGCGAAGAAAAAGAAGGCTGTGTCGTTCCACGGGTGGGTTTGTTGCACACTGTCGGGGTCCTAGCGCCCAGAGCTGCCTCCAACAGAGCACAAGTCCCACCGTGGGTGCTGGAGGAAGGGGTGGGGAAGAAGAGGATGGGGCAGAGGAGAGGCAGGCAGGGGGCCAGTGGCCAAGGGGGACTCAAGAGTGTAAGAGGAAGAAGGTAGTGGGGATGGAGTCAGAGGGACTAGGGGATGTGCAGGCAGGGAGGCAGGAGGAACCGTGCCCTGCTGGGGCTGCACCCTGACCCTACTGCCCGTTTCTCCACCCCAGGGTTGAGCCGCGGATGTCCCATGAGCCGATGCACTGGTGCCTGAACCTCAAACGGTCCTCAGCCTGCACCAATGTGTCCCTGCTCAACCTGGCGGCCATGGAGCCCACCGACTCCTCGGGGACAGACTCAACCACGGAAGACAGCAGCTCACTGGCACTGCCCGTGCCCCCTGCCTCCCCTACCCCACCCTGGGCCCCAGATGACCCAGACATCATGGAAATACTGGTGAGGGACCCCTGGCTGGGCTGGGGAAGACCAGGGTCCTCACGCTGGTGGTAGACAACTGAGGATCGGGGGGTGGCAGTCTTCATGATTGGAAATGAGAAGGTTCTGGTCACCCTACAGGGCCCTGACAGGCAGACACGAATCTGCGCCATCGGGGGTAAATGATGCCTGTTGCCTGGAAGTTGGTCTTTCATTCATTCAGTCACTTCCAAATGCCCTGAGTGAGGCTGGGGTCACAGCTGGGAATCGGGCCAGGTCCCTGCTCCAGGGAAGCTCCCAGTCTGGTGGGAGTGACAGATACAGATGGGATGATAAATTCCATGATGGAGGTAACACCAGCAATCCCAGAAAAGGGCCCCTCAAACCAGACTAGGTTATCAGGGAAAGCTTCCTGGAGGAGGTGGTGTTGGCACTGGGCTTTGAAGGATGAGTATGAGTTCTCAGAGGGGACCACTTCAGAAGGTGTGACAAAACTGCAAGGTGAGCAAAATCTAGGAAAATTTAGAGAATTTCTTACTATAGCATAGAATGCTACCTGTGTGCATGCTTAGTTGTGTCCAACTCTTTGCAATCCTGTGGACTATAGCCCGCCAGGCTCCTCAGTTGACAGGATTCTCCAAGCAAGAATACTGGAGTGGGTTGCCTGACCAACTCCAGGGGATCTTCCTGATTCAGGAATTGAACCAAAGTCTCCTGTGTCTCCTGCATTGCAGGCAGATTCTTTAACCAGTGCTATACCTTGGTCCTTTAACTCCCCTATCACCTTCCACCCCTTGCCAGGTTTCTCCTGGGCCAGGCTCTGAACTAGGCTTGACACAGACATTGAGAATCACACTTCCAATAACCCTGGTTATAATGATACTAAGATTCATTAGCAGATACTGAACACTTTCTGTGTTCCGGAGCCTCAGTTTCTTCATCTGTAAAATGGAGACACGTGTATGTTCTTTCAAGAAATATTTCTTAAACACCTACAAATGTGTCAGACGCTGGTCTAGGAGTGGGAAATACAATAACACCTAAGATAGAGTTCTGCAGAGAACTTCACCCTCCTAATGAGGTTGCCATGACAATGAAATGCAACTCATTCATGTAAAATGTGTAGCCCAAGAGTCAGCCGTATGCACAGAATACAGGTTAGTTGTTGTTATCCTCTCTTCACAGATGAAGATACTGAGGCTCTAGAAGGTTAGACAGCACCCCCAAAGCCACACAGCTTCTAAGTAGTGAGGCCAGGTTTAGGAGTCAGGTGGGGGGAGGCACCCCGCATTGATGGGGCAGTAGAAGTCACTGTGGGAGCCCTGAAAAGCAAGGCCTTGGCCCAACTGGCCATGGCCAAGAAAGGCTCTCTCTCTGCAAGAGGCAACTCCCAGGTTGGATCTTGAAGATGAGTAACGTGGAATACAGGGAAGGGTGTTCCACCTAGCTGGAACAGCATAAACAAAAGGACAGGGGTTGAAAGGAGCCCTGGGGGGAACAGGCCCTTGTGGCTCAATTGTGGTGTGTGGGAGAGGTGAGGCTGGCAGGGGCTGGAACACAGAACACAGAGGCTGAGAAGTGTGGACATTCTCCTGAGAGCAATAGGGAGCCATTGAGTGTTCCTGGGCAAGGGGAGATGAGCCACACTGGAGTTTGGGCTCTGTGCCCATTTACTGAGCACCTACTATGTGCCAGGCACTGTGCCACATCCCTGTGGTAGGGAGGGGGGTCTCATTTTCCTCTCTGAGAAGTCCTGCAAGGAAAGGGAATAATGACCCATTTGAAGAAGAAAAAAAAATAATTAGTGAGGCAGAGAGAGGTGGAGTGACCCCCTGCCAAGGTCAGAGAGCTTGTAAGAAGCAGGGCCAGGATCAGAGGTTTAGTGGGTCTGATGCTTTCTTTCCCCAGGAGATGCCTCTGGGCCCAGGTGGGAGATGTATGGAGGGGAGAGACCGAAGGCAGACAGGCCAGAGAGGAGGCCAGGCGAAGGTCCCGGGTAAGAGGACCAGGTCGAGAGAAGGGAGTGGGCAGAAAGTCCAGCTGGGATGGATGGCCTGGAAGGCATCTCCTCCCCCTCGCTGCCAGCATTGCTCAGGCAGCTCTTGCAGAGGTCCACCTCCCACTGGAGCTATTTCTGAGTCACATCCCCCAGAGGACTGTGATGCCTGAGAAAGAGCCCTGGGCGGCCAAGATCAAGGTCTGCTGCAGCTGTGAGCTCACTGTGGGGCTGCGGGGGAGCCCCGGACTCCACAAGGCTTCTCCGTAAAATGGAGAAAATTACTGACAGGCAGCACCTTGGGTTAGGGGCAAGAACAGTGAAGAAGTGGACAGTAACAGGGACTGGCACACAGCATCAGAGCTGTATCAGGAGAGAAAGCTGGAGATGGACTGAGAGGAGCGGGCAGAAACCCAGAGATCAAGGAGGACCAAGATCTGGGGCGGGGGGGACAGGGACCCCGGGAGAGGAGGACTTGGACCTAGGGAGGGGGCCAGAGACCAACTGAGGAGGAGACAGAAAACCAGAGACAGAGGAGGGGGGCAGAGGCCTAGAGAAAGAAGGAACAGACACCATAGAGAGAAGTGGGACAGAGAACCCGACAGAAGAGGAAGACAGCCCTGAGTGATGGAGACCCCCGGGGAGAGAATGGCAATTCCCAGAGTGGACGGAGGGTCGGGAGAAGATGGTGAAGCAGACAGCTTTGGTTCGTGTTTTCCTTTTTGTTGTTTTTTTGGCCATGCCGGTGCAGCTTGTGGGTTTTTAGTTTCCTAGCCAGGGATCAAACTTGAGCCAATAGCAGTGAGAGACAGAGTCCTCACCGCTGGACTGCCAGGGAAGTTCCTAGTTCATAGCTTTTCTCTGACATCTTTATGAGGCCAGAGGATGCAACTGAGGAGGTGGTATTGTTTTTAGGAAATGTTGGTGCCTCTGTGCAGAAATGGACAGATTAGGTCTTTGCAGCCTTGCTTCCCATTTGTCCTGCTGCCTGCAGACCTCCCTGAGGCGGCTATGCAATCTCAGTGCTAAGCCCCTTCTTGGTAGGTCATGTCCTATTGTCGTTACTTTTTTTTTCTTTTTTTCCAATTGTCATTACTTTTAATGATGCTGACACTAATCATGGCGCTTGCCTTATGGATCCTAACATCTTGTTGACCCTTCCTCACCACCATCTGCCAAGGTATCATCATTCCCATTGGACAAGAAAGGAAACTGAGGCAGGCTTGGAATGGGGAATTGGACTGCCCAGCTGCATGGCGTGTGGGTGGCCAAGGAGGAGGGGTTTATCTCCAGATCTGGCTGCTGCCCACCTCCACCGTGGGGCTTCCCCAGTGGCCCAGTGGTAAAGAAGCCACCTACAATGTGGGAGATGCGGGTTCCATCCCTGGGTTGGGAAGATCCCCTGAAGGAGGGCATGGCAACCCACTCCAGTATTCTTGCCTAGAGAATCCCCATAGACAGAGCAGCCTGGTGGGCTATGGTTCATGGGGTGGCAAAGAGGCAGACGCCACTGCAGCAACAGAGCAGGTATGCATGCACCTCCACCATTTCACTTTCCAGCCAAAGCTGACAGGCTCAGCCTTCACTATTTCCCAAATCTGCTCTCAGAGAAGCTAAAACTCACCTCCAGTGACCCCAGCTTTTCTCCAGTGCCCTTTCTCTTTTCCCATGTGTTGACCAGCAGCCTTTCTGGGTCAGCCTGTACTCTTCCCAACAGCAGCCCCATGAAGGTAGTGATTAGTCCTTCCCCGTTTTACAAGGAGAGAAACAGAGGCTTAGAGAAGTGAAGTCCCCTCCCTGAGGCCTTACAGCTAGTAAGTGGGAGAACTGAGTTGACCCCAGGACCTGCTCTCCTAGTTTTCCAGAACCTCTACCCACAAGAAGTCCAAGACTTCGTGGGTCTTCAGTTCTAAAATATCATTCTGTGTATCTGTTAGTGATTGCAGTGAAACAAACAATCCATGACCTTAAAACAACAAATCTGGAGTGGTTTAGTTGGGTGCTCCTGGCTTAGGGTTGCAGTCAAGATTTTGGCAGGGTGGAACTTCCTTGGCATGTTAGTATTTAAGACCTCATGCTTTCACTGCAGGGGGCGCAAGTTTCATCCCCAGTCAGGGAACTAAGATCCCACATGCTGCTCCGCCAAAAAATATTTTTAAAAAAATTTAAAAAAAGAGATTTTGGCAGGGGCCATAGTCATCTGATGGCTTCCCAGGTGGCACCAGTGGTAAAGAATCCACTTGCCAACACAGGAGATAACAAGAGACATGGGCTTGATCCCTGGGTTGGGAGGATCCCCTGGAGGAGGAAATGGCACCCCACTCCAGTATTCTTGCCTGGAGAAAATCCCATGGACGAGGAATCTGGTGGGCTACATTCCATGGGGTCACGAAGAGTTGGACCCAACTGAGCGACTAAGCACACAGAGTCATCTGAAGGTTTGACTGGGGATGGAGGGGGTGCTTTCAAGATGGCACACTCTTATACTCCCGGTTGGTGGCCTCAGTTTCTTTCCACATGGGCCTCTCCAGAAGGAGCTGCTTACGGCCTGGCAGTTATCATCCTCCAGAGCCAGACAGAGCAAGAAGGAAGCCACAGTTCCTTTCGTGAACTAGTTTCTTAAGTCACATACCATCACTCTGACTTATGCTATTTACTGGGTATGAGTTACTAGGTCCAGCCAACACTCAAGTGAGGGAGTAAGGCACTACATTTGGAAACAGTCTCAAAAAACTTATGGGTGTATTTAAAACCACCATGGCTTTGTTGTCGGTTTTATTGTTTTTAATTATTTTTTTTTGTAGGTGCTTTTTACCAGGATGAGGAAGTTCTCTTGTACTTTTAGTTTGTTGAGTGTTTTGTTTTTGTTTTCTTTGTTGTTGTTGTTGAGTGTTTTTATCATGAAAAGGTATTGGATTTTGTCAAAAGCTATTTCTGTATTCATTGACATGATTGTATTCCACCCTCACCTTGTATTTTACTAATATGATATGTTACATGAGTTAATCTTCATGTTGAAACAATTTTGCATGCCTGGGGTAAATTATATATGGTGTAATGTATAATCCTTTTCTTTCTTTTTTTTTTTATTTAAAGGCTTCCCAGGTGACTCAGTGGGTAAAGAATCTGCCTGCAATGCAGGAAACTCGGATTCAGTCCCTGGGTTGGGAAGATCCCCTGGAGGAGGGCATGGCAACCCACTCCAGTATTCCTACCTGGAGAATCTAATGGACAGAGGAGCCTGGTAGGCTACAGTCCATGGGGTCGCAAACAGTCAGACGTGACTAACCACACATGCACATAATCCTTTTTATATGCTGCTGGATTTTGTTGCAATTTTTGTGGCTGTTTTCAGAAGGGATATTGGTCTGTAGTTTTACTATCTGGTGATGTCTTTGGTTTTGGTATCAGGGTAACATTGGCTTCATAGAATAAGTTAGTTCCCTCCTCTTCTGTTTTTATGGTGAAGTGTTTGAGATAAATTGGCAGCAACTCTTTAAAAAAAAAAAATTGGTAGAATTCACCAGTGAAGTCATCTGGGCTTTTTTTGTTGGAAGTTTTAAAATTACTAACTCAAACTCTTTACTTGTTATAGGGCTATTCAGATGTCCTATCTCTTCTCCAGTTAGTGTTTTACAAAGATTTTTTCCATTTCATCTAGGTTATCAAATTTGATGGCATCCAATTGTTCATAGAATTCGCTTGCAATCCTTTCTCTTACCATAAGACTGGTAGTAATGTCCCCTTTCTCCTTCCTGATTTTAGTGATTTGAGTATTCTTCCTCTTTTTCATAGTTAGTCTAGCTAAGAATTTGGCAATTTTGTCGATCTTTTAAAAACAACTTCCAGTTTGCTGATTTTTCTCTCCTGTTCTATTGTTTCATTTTCTCCATTCTAATCTTTGTTCATTTTCTCTCATTCCAAAGTATAATTTCTCTTGTGATTCTTCTTCCACCCATTGATTATTTATGAGTGTGTTGTTTAATTTCCATATCAATATTTGTGAGTTCCTCAAATTTCCTTCTGCATTTTATTCCTAATTTCATTCTACTGAGGTCTTTGAGGTCAGAAAGCACACTTTGTTTTTATATCCTTTAGGGTCTGTCCTTGACCACAGGAAGAATGTTTCATTCCACTTGAGAAGAATGTGTATTCTGCTCTTGCGTGTTATGTTCTATAGATATCTGTTAGGTTTGGTTGATTTATAATGTTGTTCAAGTCTTCTATCTCCTTGCTGATCTACTTTCTAGTTTTCAATTAATTCTTTATTGGGGGATGGGGAGGGGAGGGTGCTGTGCCACGCTGCATGCGGCATCTTAGTTCCCTGACCCAGGGATTGAATCTGGGCCCTCAGCAGTAAAAGCACTGAGTCCTAGCCCCTGGACTGCCAGGGAATTCCCAATTCTGTTAGTTTTTGATCCATGTGCTTTGAAGCTCTATTAGGTGCATATATATTTATGATTGTTGTTATCTTCTCAATGACTTGAGTCAGTTTTGGTCACTTTTTTTCATTGTTTTCATTGAGGGGTGTAATTTGGGGGTTTCCAACTCCTCCATTTTGCTGATATCACCTTAATACAGTATTTATCACGGTATTTATCCAGAGCAGTTGTGCAAGAAATGTGAAGTTGTTCCCATTTTACAATGGAGGAAGCTTGTTCTCTTTTCTCTTTGTGTCTTACTTAAGCAGCTGTGAAAGAAACCCAAAATATCTGGTTGAAGCAGGATAGTTTATTGCTGACATAAACATCTCAAGTATAGCAGGTCTCTTCCAATGAAGCAGGTTAGAGGCCCCAGGGTTCTCGAGGCTCAGTTATTAAGTCACAAGTTTGGCTGCTGTAACATAAAAGACACAAAGTAGCACTGTTGGTTTTTTAAAATATTTATTTGGCTGCACTGGGTCTTCCTTGTGACATGTGGGGTCTTTAGTTACTGTACTCAGGATATTTTTAGTTGTGGCATGTGTTTATGCAACTCTTAGTTGCAGTATGGAGGATCTTACTTCCCTGACCAGGGATCAAACTCAGGCCCCCTGCATTGGGAGAACAGAGTCTTAGCCACTGGAGCACCAGGGAAGTCCCAAAAGTAGCATAGTTTAAACAAGGTGGAAAATGTTCTCCTTCTCACATGTAAAGTATTCAAAAGTGGTTGGAATTGAGTATGGCAGCTTCACAGGGTTGAGAATTCAATATTCTTTTATCTTGTGTCCTCCATCTCATGGTCCAAGATAGCTGCTCTGGCTTTAGCCATCAACATCATAGAGAAAGGGAGGTATGTTCCCTACTTTCCTTTATTAAAGGCAAGAATTGGAAATTGCCTACATTATTCCCACTCATATTCCATTGGCCAGAACTTAGTCACATGGGCATGCCCAGCTGCAAGGGCACCTGGGAAATGTAGTCTTTGGCTGGGCAGTCATGTGCCAAGCTAACTCTTCTATAAATATGGAAGACAGGAGAGTGAAGATCCTGTCACATGCAGCCTTCCTGAGCCGTTTTTTTGACAGGGGTCACAAAGCATTTTATGATAACATAAGGTAGCTATCTATGATCAGCAGCCACATGGCATCATGGTTTAAAACAATGGTTCTGGTTCTGAGTATAAATTCTGACAAGGGCACCTCACGTACCATGTACCTGGGAATACAAAGGACATCCCCTCTCTGAGCCTCATTTGCCTCCCTTGCAAAATGGGCCAAAATAACCTCAAGAGGGGCAGTTGTGGGGAATAAAAGGGAAAACGTGGGTAAGTGCATGACTTGGTGCATAGTGAGTGCTTATATTTGGAAAGTGGGTTATCTTTAGAATCCTTCACTGCCTGGAGAGAAAGACAGGGCATGTGTTTTAACAGTTTATCTTATTTATGTCTCTGGACCCAAAGGCATTTATCTCACGTTAAGAACATCCTCCTTCTCCCACAAGTTTGAGCAACCCCCCACCCCCCACTCCCTCCTGGATCCTACTTATTTTTCTTCCCATCCACTAAGCAGAAAAAGAGTCTGTCCCCTGGCTTAATGGGGCAAGAACACCAAGAATCAAAGAGGCGCAGCCCTGGCCCCCAATTCCACCAGCTATTCCAGGGCAGAATCAAGGTGTAAAGGCAGTTTTAAGACTTTCTTTTGGGGTTGGGGTTTGCTCCCCTACACCCACTGACCCCTGGCTGTCTCCCGTTCTTCCCCAGAGTGGGGTCAACAGTGGATTGGTGCGTGCCAAAGATTCCATCACCAGCTTGAAGGAGAAGACCACCCGGGTTAACCAGCACGTGCAGACGCTGCAGGTGTGAGGACCACTCCGTTCCCTGTCAACGCCTCCTCTACTTCCGGGGCCACATTCCCCTTCTTCTCCAGCTCAATGCACCCATAGCCTAGGTGGGGGAGACTGAGGCTCAGAAGGGAAAGCGATGTTCCCACCTCTCCCCCCCTTCCCCTGGGGTGTCCCCTGGAGGCCCTGGCTAACCCCTCCTCCCTTCCATGCTCCAGAGTGAGTGTTCTGTGCTGAGTGAGAATTTAGAGAGAAGGCGGCAAGAGGCGGAAGAACTAGAAGGGTACTGTAGTCAACTCAAGGTGAGCAGCCGAGGGGCAGGAGTGGGGCGGAAAGAAGGAAGCAGGAGTAGGAAGAGGGTGAGAGGAAATGGGGAGGAGTAGAGTGATAGACAGGAAAGAGATGGGGGCAAGCAGACAGGGAGCATGGGAGAGGTCCTAGGAAGAACCCGCCCTTTATCCAAGCGAGCCAAGGAAACCAAGGGCGGAGGCAGTCCTTGCGGAAGAAGTGGGCATGTCTCGGCTGAGGTGGGGTGGAGCCTGCATGGAAAATAACGAGGATAAGGGTTGGGAGACGGAACTGGAATGGGAAGGCAGGGCCCCTGCCCTGGTATCCTGACCCAGGAGAACTGCCGGAAGGTGACCCGGTCGGTGGAAGATGCTGAAATAAAAACCAACGTCCTGAAGCAGAACTCTGCCCTGCTGGAGGTAAGGCGGAGGGGCCTAAGGGTTTGAGGAAGTTACTCAAGTACATGAGATACTCAAGGTGGACTTCGGGTAGGACTTCCCGCCCTGCCAACCACCTTTACCACCACCACCCTGCCCCTTCATGTTCATGGTCATACTTCTCCACGCACAGTCATATTCAGGTCCCAGGGAGAGGAATTCATGTCAGACTTGGAGTGGGAATGCCTGTCCTGCCCACCCGCCCACTGATTTCCCAACAGAATGTTGGAAAAGCTTCAGTTGTCCTACCTAAACAGGAGGGACTGGAGTTTGAGGCCTATTGAGGATTAGAGTTGGGGTGGAGGGCTAGATGGAGACAGAGAGGCGGGCATTTAGAGGTTAAGGTGAGTTGAGACTCCAGCTGGGCCTCTAATGGAACTTCCCTCCCTAATCGAATCCCCACATCCATTTACTTTCTAGTGTCAGGAACTCATTGGGCGCATCTGGGGGTGGGGGTGGAGGTGGAGGTGGCAGTGGTGGGAGGCAAGGGGCAGGATGCTCGCGCTAACCCTGCCTGCCTTCCCCGCCCAGGAGAAGCTGCGCTACCTCCAGCAGCAACTGCAGGATGAGACTCCAAGGAGGCAGGAGGCAGAGCTACAGGAGCTGGAGCAGAAGCTGGAGGCTGGCCTCTCCAGGCACGGCCTGGGCCCCGCCACCCAGCCCTCAGGCTGCTCCGGTCCACCCGGGAGCCCCGACGAACCCCCGCGACCGCGAGGCCTGGCCTCAGGCGGCTGGGGAATGGGGCCCCGGCCAGGGGAGGGCCCCATCGTGAGCGAGCAAGAGCTGCAGAAGGTCTCTGCCGGCCTGGAGGAGCTGAGGTGAGTGGGATCTCGAGATGGGCCCGGGGGGTGGAGCCTCGAATAGCCTAGGAAGGAGTGTTCTGGGGCGATGATCCAGAAGGGCAGGACTTCGAAGAAGTGACTAGAGTATAGGACTGGTGGCGGGGAGGCCGGGAGGCCCGTGAAAATGAGGTGGGCGAAGTTTGGGGAGGTGGCAGGTGGCTCCAAACTCAGGGGGACAGGGTTGGGGCGAGTGGTATCTTGAGGAGGCAGTGTCTGCAGCAGTTGATGCAGGGCTGGGAGGCAGGCCGAGAGAAAGCCAGGATATCTGACAAGGGGATTCTTTCCGGGCCGGGTTCTGGGGGACGTGAGTGGATTCCAAGACATGAACAGGACGGGAGAATTAGGGGACTCGGTGGGTCCGGAGCCCCTGGCCGGGCGGACCGGGGCGTGTCCAAACTTAGCCCTGACGGTTTCCTTACCTCTGCCCCTGCAGGAGGGAGGTGTCTTCGCTGACCGCCCGGTGGCATCAGGAGGAGGGAGCCGTGCAGGAGGCCCTACGGCTGCTTGGGGGTCTGGGTGGCAGGCTCGACGGCTTCCTGGGCCAGTGGGAGCGGGCGCAGCGCGAACAGGCGCAGACCGCGCGGGGCCTGCAGGAGCTGCGGGGCCGGGCGGACGAGCTGTGCACCATGTAAAGGCCCACGCGGGAGCACTGTGGGAACGTGGGAGGGCGGAGCCTTGAGTGAAGGGCCAATCAGCTGGAGCCAATCGGGTGGAGACTGTAATACTGACAGGTGGGGGCCCCAATTAGAGAGGAGGGAGAGGTGCTTTCTACCTAAGGACTGAGGGGCGGAGCCACTACAAAAGAGGGGCTTCTCTGGTAGCTGAGCTGGGACAGAATCCGCCTGCAATGTTCGATCCCTGGGTTGGGAAGATCCCCTGGCGAAGGAAATGGCAACCCACTCCAGTATTCTGGCCTGGAGAATTCCATGGACTGTATAGCTCATGGGGTCGCAAAGGGTCAGACACGACTGAGCGAGTTTCACTTTCACTGTACCTTAAAAGGGCAAGGGGGAAAAAAAAAAGGGCAAGGGGAGGCAAATGGGAACACAGCAAACCAGTTCGAGAACAAAGAGAGGCATTCCCGAAATAAAAGGGGGAAAAAAAAAGATGGACCAGTCAGAGCAAAGGCTGTGCGTGTGGCGAGGTATTGCAAACTGTATGGAGGCAGAGGTGCTGGGCTAATCTTGGGTGGAGCCTTGTTGGGCCTTCACCCTGTTATACGAAAGTAGAGCGGTTCCTGTGAAACCTTTGGTAAGCCAAAATAGCATAAAGTGAAGAGACAACTACCTTAGAATACATCTTGCCAACAGATGCACAAAATAAATTGAGGTAAAGCACAGATGCCCACAGAACACAGTTCAAAGCTATGGTGGCTTGATGCCGAGATACTGAGTGTACTTCTCAGAGGAGGAGCTTGGTGGCTCCACTCCCGCTGCTTGCAATGTGTCCTGCTTCTGTAAAAGCAGGCTGAGCGCGGAAGAATTGATGCTTTCCAACTGTGGTATTGGAGAAGACTCTTGAGAGTCCCTTGGACAGCAAGGAGATCAAACCAATCAACCCTAAACGAAATCAACCCTGAATATTCATTGGAAAGACTGATGCTGAAGCTGAAGCTCCAGTACTTTGGCCGCCTGGTGCGAAGAGCTGACACATTGGAGAGGATCCGACACATTGGAAACGACCCTGATGCTGGGAAGGATCGAGGGCAGGAAGAGAAGGGGATGACAGAGGATGAAATGGTTGGATGGCATCACCGAATCAAGGGACATGACTTTGAGCAAACTCCAGGAGACAGTGAAAGACAAACAAACCTGGCCTGCTGCAATCAATGGGTTGCAAAGAGTCGGATGCAACATAGCAAATGAACAACAACAAGAGCTTGCTACAAAACAAATGCTTTGTGCTTTTTTCATAAAAGCAAAAATCCTTTTCTGATTTCTTTTGGTTAGTGAAAACAGGTACTAATGTAGGTCTTTCAAAAAAATGGACTGGGATAAAGTGACCTTTTAGAAATCGGAGGACACCTGTATACTTTGAGAGGTGACCTCACTGCACCGCTTATTCTCACATCTCAGGGTGGAGCGGTCTGCAGTGTCTGTGGCTTCACTGAGGAGCGAACTGGAGGGACTGGGCCCAGTGAAACCAATTCTGGAGGAGCTTGGACGGCAATTTCAGAGCTCTCGGAGAGTGTCTGACCTCTCTCTGAACCTGGATCGGGGAGCCCAAGGCTCCTGTACCCGCTGTGCCAGGTAAGGGGGCAGCGCCTGGCTCCAGGTGCATTCTGTGTCATATTGAGGACAAAGCATCGAAGGAGATGAGACTTTAGCATGGCTGGAGAAGGAAATGCATTGTGGGAGACAGGGCAGCCCCATGTATCATAGGATGGGCCAGTCTTGCTGCATCTGGGGAGTCACATTTCTTCCCTTCCCCACACGGTGAAGTCAGTGTTTTGGGGAACATGAGAAAGTCTTGCTTTGTTTCGAGCATCCTGGATTTCCAAGTGCATCGTGGGAAGGTTGGGCAGTGGTACTGGTGGGAGGCAGGGTTGCCCAGTGCACTGTAGGGAAGTGTGAGACCTTGGGGTATTGGAGAGGCACAGGACCATGTTTATCCTGTATTAGGAACAGTGGGGGCACTTCCCATACAATGTGGGATCAATTTTAACTAGGGCATTGTGGGAAATGTGAGTTTTTGACACGCTGAGGGCCATCTGGTGTCTGGAGTGGGAACCCCCAGGCACTGTGGGAGTTCCCTGAGCTGGTGGAAGCTGTAAGTACACCTGATGCACTGTAGTCTGGCCCCAGTGCATGGTGGGAAGGTGGCCTGGGTGAAGGCTGGGCAGGTAGGCTTGGGCCATCCTGATCTGAGCCCTCTTTCACCCGGTGACTACCCCTCCCCCAGCCAGGGACAGCAGTTGTCCACGGAGTCCTTGCAGCAGCTTCTGGAACGAGCGCTGACCCCGCTAGTGGACGAGGTGAAGCAGAGAGGCCTGGCTCCTGCCTGCCCCAGCTGCCAGAGGCTACATAAGAAGATTCTGGTACCAAGGACCATGGGCCACCATGGGCCAGTTTGTGATCAGGGCAGGGGGAGGGGAGGCCCAGACTCAAGGATACTGCTGGTGTGTGGCAGGATGGGGAGGGTGAGCTGGGGGCAGCAGGTGTTGGGGGAACGCTTGGCTCTGGTATGTCAGAATCGGGGAACAAGATCAGTTTGGTGGTTAGTGAGTCATAGGTCAGTCATTATGAAAGCTTGGGTGATGGACTTGGGCCCAAAGCATCATGGAACCCGGATCTGGTGCTCTGTGGGACAGAGAAGACAGACACCAGTCTATAGCTTCGTGGAATATAAGCCTGATTTTCCATGAACCTTGAGAGGCAATGCATTATATGGGATCATTGCGATCAGACGGGGAACCAGTGAATACAGCTCAGAGTAAGCTAACGCAGTATGGGAAATGGAAGCACAGCTCTTCCTGAGGCATTGCACACAGACACAGGCGCAGTAGCAGGTGGAATCTGAGGCTGGTGTACATTCTGAAACATAGCGATCTAGTGTATTATGGGATATGAGTTGTATTGGGTGAGATGGACAAATGAGGCAGTAAAGGAGCTGGGGCCTGGTGCATTGTGGGACACAGGGCACCAGAGCACTGAGGACTATTATTGTGATAGAGGGGCTGGCCTGATAGATAGGAGATGTGGGGTCTTGTGAATTATGGGATGTAGACGGTCACCACGTGATTCGAGATGGGGCCCCAGACATCAAACGCATGATGGCTCGTGGGCAGTAAGGAACAATGTGACAGATGTTGATTTAGTGCTTATCAGGGAAGAAGATGGCCAGTGCAATCAATAGAGGACAGACGGTGGGACAGGTACAAGTCTAGTGCACAAGGGAATTGGGAAGGCCCAGTGCATTGTGGGATGCTGGGATCAGCCTCAGGCTCAAGGCATGATGGGATACTCCAGGGGTGGGGGATGCGGGCCCCAGGGGACCCTACCCCTTGCGCTTCGCAATCCAGATCCCCCCTCCACCCCCAGCCCAGTCCAGCAAGCCCAGCGGCGCCTACGCTCCTCTCCCCAGGAGCTGGAGCGCCAGGCCTTGGCCAAACACGTCAGGGCAGAGGCCCTGAGCTCCACCCTTCGGCTGGCCCAAGACGAAGCCTTGCGGGCCAAGAACCTGCTGCTGACGGACAAGATGAAGCCGGAGTGAGGAAGCAGGCTGAGGGCATGGGAGGAGGGTGAGGTCGTGGGGAGAGGGCCTGAGTCACCCCCACCTTCCACTTCAGCCCCAAGGCCTCTGGCCTCACCAGCACTAACTGCCCACTGTCTCATTACAGGGAGAAGGTGGCCACTCTGGACTATCTACACTTGAAAATGTGCTCCCTCCACGATCAGCTCAGCAACCTGCCACTTGAGGGGTCCACGGGGACAATGGGGGGAGGAAGTGGTGGGGGAACTCCCCCAAAACGTGGGGGCCCAACCCCTGAGCAATAAATGGCCCCTCATGCTGGCATGAATTCAGTCTCCTGTTTGGCGCCAAAAGAGAGCTAGTAAAACTGCACATGCCACGCACCAGCATCTGTGCTCACTCTGACTTGATCCTCAGCTGATGGGATGTCGATGATGGTACACTCTTCTGATGAGTTCTGCTTGAAAGGGGAGTCGAGAATGAATTGATAGCCCATGTGGAGAAGTGGGAACAAAGAAAGTTCAAAAGTCTCAAAATTTATCTGTGTTCCATCAGATGTTCCCATTGTAAGTCTCAGGCTTCCACTCCTTCCCAATCAACGCCCCAACCTTCCTACCAGAGACTTAGCGAGATTTTTAATTCAACTTGGTATGTAATTCTGGAACCCATACAGCTACAGCTTATGTTAGATTTTCAGCCATGTTGACCCTGTCTTTACAAGAAATGTGAAATTCTTTTAGGGTTTCCACGGAAGCTGATTGGTTCGCTGAACGTGATTGGAGCTGAGAGTTTAAAGATCTCAGCTCAGGTGATACAGGTTCCATCCCTGGTTGGGGAACTAAGATCCCACATGCTTTGCAGCCAAAAAAAAAAAAAAAAAAAGGAAGCAATATTGCAAATATCTGAGCTCATAATGTTCTTTCATTAAGCATGTCAGGGAACTCAGAAGTAGCCACTGAATGCCACTATCCTTGTGGCCATTATTAGTGCCCTGATGGTTCATTGCAGCAGCCACTCATCCCTCAAGTCACAGACTTCAGTTGGAACCTCACAACAGCCAAGATGGATGCTAATATATGATTTACCATGATGCCACTGCAGACTGTGGAATATTAGCATTCCATTTCTTGACAAGGAGCTCAGCACTATGTTCAAATCCTAAAAACCAACTAAACCATTTCCCAAACCAAATTTAAGAATTCACTTCCTCTTGCAAATATTGATGTCAGCCAAGGTATATTCAGGAGACAGAAATCACACTGGTTATTTTCACAGAGTTGATTTCATATAAGGAAATATTACTTAGGTATAAACAGTTGGTAACTAGGAAACTGAAAAGGCAAAAAGAGAGCCCTATGGTATCATAGTGGTAATAACTCGTGACAGTAGAAGCAGCTAATAACGCTGGTGAAGGAAAAAAACAGAATATGGGTTAGAATTATGAAAACTAAACACTTGGGTGAGAGGCTCACCGAAGATGAAATCCAAGGAGGACATTGAGGAGGGGAGAGTGCTCAACTGGTGCAGATGTTATCTGAGTTTAGAGGACCAGCAGGGACTGGGGCCTTCTCTGAAAGCATACTAAAATGGTACTGGCATTTCTCAGAGTGCGCAAGATTTGGAAAAACTGCAAACTAGACTTAGCAGCTGCTGCAGGAAGGAAATGCCTCCGTTGGGATAAAGAAGCTATGCTGGGTGATAACCGATGAGAAGGAAATAAGCAGAGAGCAAACCGGAAGAGCCCAGTCTCTCGGCTTCCTTCAGTCCCTTTGGTGCCCCCTACTGGCAGAATCGAACACAGCCTGTTGGCAAAGAAAAAGTGTGGTTTTCAGAGTCCGAGTCCCAGATTCACAAGGGAGCGAATTTGAATCCAAGAGATAATAGCTTAATAATTGGCACACGTAACAGTAGTGTGTGCCAATGATCAGAGATTATGAGTAATCCAATTCCGTACCCCTAAGGCCCAAATACATCTTTTAAGGAGTCCTTGAATACTTGAGAGACTAATTATTTTCCTGGATAAGTAGTCTGAATGTTGCGCCGATGTTAATTCTATCCAAATTCTATTGTGGTTTTAATGCAAATTCAGTCAAAATCCCACTGAGATTATTTTTTAAAGGAATTGACCCAATTATTCTAAAGGTCTCCTGAAGAAACAAATAGATGAGAGAAGCAAAGATTTTTTGTTTCTACAGACGAGTAATAAGATTGGTCTACAGCCAGTATGTTAAAATATAAAGTTACACTGGGAATTACCTGGTGGTCCAGTGGCTAAGACTCCATTCTGAGCTCCCAATGCAGGGGGCCCAGCTTTGATCCCTGGTGAAGGAACTAGATGCCACATGCCACAACTAAGAATTTGCATGCTGCAAAGACCCAGCACAGCTAAGTTTCTTTTAAAAATCATATAAAAGAAGAACAAAATAAATAAACAAGTAATTTTTTAAAAAGAACAAATCAAAAAATAAATAAATAAAAAGAACAAATCAGGCTGCTCTTTTGGGAACACTTATTGAAGATACCCCACAGAGATAGCAAGCCCTGGCCATCCCATTTCCCAGGTGACCCTTCAGCTTGATGCACTGACCAATGACTGGTGACCACAACAAGGCCAGTGAGTCCAGCTCAACCCAGATTGTATGATCGTGAGCACATTGAAATTTTGGCAAAATGTGCATCACATACAGTTTACCATTTTAATCATATTTGTGTCTAATTCAGTGGTATGAATTACACTCACAACTTGTGTAACCATCACCACTATGTCCATGTCCAGAGCTTTTCATCCTCCCAAACAGAAACACTGTAGCCATTAAACAAAACCTCCTCATTCCCCATTCCTCCCTCCTCCCAGCTCCTGGCAACTGCCAGGAACATCTTTTCATGGGCTTATTTGTGAATCTTCAGTGCAGAAATGTCTATTCAAGTCCTTGGCCTATTTTTTGAATGGGGTTGTTTGGCTTTTGTTCTTGGATTGTAGGAGTCATGTCATATATCTCGTATTAACTCATCAGATACACAACATGCAAATTATAGTCTCGCATCATGCCAGCTCTTTTCACTCTATTGATTGTGTGTCCTTGGATGCAAGGAATTTTTTAATCTGATTGTAATGCCATTTATCTTTTTTTTTTTTCCTTTCGTTGCCTGTGCTTTGGCTATCACATCCAAGCTGAGAACTCATTGCCAAATCCAATGTCATGAAGCCTTGTGCCTGTGTTTTCTTTTGAAGGGTTTTATAGACTGGGGTCCCCAACCTCTGGGACCTAATGCATGATGATCTGAAGTGGAGCTGTCGCAATACTAGTAGAAATAAAGTGCACAACAAATGTAGTGCACTTGAATCATCTCCAAACCACCCCCCCACCCCCACACTGGTCCATGGAAAAACTGTCTTCTACGAAAGCTGCCAAAAATGTTGGGGACTGCTGTTACAGAGTGCATGTGGTGGTCTCACAGACCCTCTTCCTTCCACAGTGTTTGGATGCAACAGACCCAGGGATGCCCCTTCCTCCAGCTTCCCACCACCCTCCAACACTTTTTCCAGTGGCAATCTTTGGAATCAGCTACTCAGCTATCCTCGGTCACCGAGACCAGCCGACACCATTTTTTGAGCTTAACTCTTTATTTCCGATCAACCATGAGCTCCCAGATTCGTCAGAATCATTTCACCGAGGTGGAGGCCGCCATCCACCACCTGGTCAACAAGTATCTGCAGGCCTCCTACACCACCTGCCTCTGGGCTTCTTTTTCCACTGCCACAATACGACTTGAGGGCGTGAGCCCCCTTTTCCTCGAACTGCTCTAGGAGAAGCGCCAGGGCACCCACCATCTCTTGAAACTGCAAAACCACCATGGCTGCTGTGCACTCTTCCTAGATGGGCAGAAGCTGTATCAAGATGAGTGGGGTAAAACCCAGGATGCTACAGAAGCCTCCGTGTTCATGGAGAAGAACCTCCATGAACCAGGCCCATATGGATCTGCACGCCCTGGGTTCTCCCTATGCAGACTTCCACCTCTGTGACTTCCTGGAGCCTCAGCCTAGGTGAGCAGGTGAAACTTATCTGCAGGATGGGTGATTACCTGACTGACCTCCGCAGGCTGGCTGGTCCCCAGGCTGGCTGGGCAAGTATCTGTTTGAAATGCTCAGCCTTAAGCACAACTAGGATCCCCTCCGCAATAAATTAGGCAGGTGCCAGGGTTATAGCTGACATGGTGACTGTAACTGGGAATTCATGGAGGAGCCTGGGGATGAATGGGAACTTTTCTCTTCCTCCACCCTGACCCTCACCTCACCCACCCCTGCCCAGCCCAAGAGCACAGCAGACATCACACCCCCAGCTCACACATCTTTATTAGTCAGGATGTGGGATTTCCAAACCCAGACAGGCTGCCTCTGTCCTGCACCAGCCCAGCTGCAGAGACCTTCCCCTAGTTCCTGGGGAGACCAGCTCCCCCCTGGAAGGTGTCAAAAGCTAGTGGCTGTCGTGGGGGCCCTGGAGCCCCTGGTAAGGCAGGGGAGAGAACCGCAGCTGTGCTCCAAGTCCTCCTCCCCTAACCCGAGTCCTCCTCCCCTAATCCCCTGCGCTTAAGATGCTGCCCCTCCGGGAAGAGGGTGGCCACGTCCAACAAGGCATCCTGGATGCGCTGGCCCAGCCGGTGGGAGTCCTGGAAGGAGAGATGTGTCACGTGCAAGAGAAGCTGGGAGAGGGGCTCCCAGAGGCTGAGAAGCAAGAGGGCTGGGGTCCCTGCCCCTGGGCCTGAGGGCTGCGGGGTTTGAGTACTGGGACTCCGGGATCGTGGGCAGGTGGCGAGCTGGGAGTCTGGAATCCTGAGCTGCAGGAGAGGAGGGAGGTGGGAGTCCCGAGGGAGGAGGGGCCGGGGTGGGTCAGCCTCACCGTTCTTGTGCTTGATTTTTTGCTCGAGATGTGGAAGGTGATCACGTCATCGCCCATGAACATGTAGGACACGCCGTAACCGTGGTCATCGGCCTGCAGAGGGGCGAGTGACGGGAACAGCACAGCCCCAGGTCCCATCCCCCCGCCATAGGCGGGAGGGCGGACCCCCCACCCCCTCCTCCCTCAGGGCCCAGTTCCACTCACAGGCCCGAATCCACCACCAGAGGAGACATAGTCGGGGTAATTGTGGACGTCGAACAGGTGAATTTGCTGAACAGGAATCTGGCTGGTGGCCAGCTGCCACTGCTCTGAGTGAACCTGAGGGACAGGAGTCAGTCACGTGTGCGCTAAAGACAAGCCGCCGCGGCTTTCCCTTCAAGGTGTGCCACTCTGCCCCGCCCCTTCCT